GTTGAAAACTAATATCAGCGCCCTATTATTAAATTTTTCGTTCATGAAACCTGCAAATAACCTCTCGAACTCAATGCATTTTAAAATAAAACACTCTGTACACTTGCATGTGTTATAGTACTCATATGTAGCTTCTACAGCAAATCAATTCATTTTTTAATTAAATTCCTGATGGAAAAAATCTCTTTAAAAAATTCATATATACTATAAAGTGGTAAATCAGATAAGATTTTTAATTAGATTAATGTGGAATGCATACTAAAATATTCAACACGCTATGTATATTGAAATATAAAATAGTGCAAACGTTAAATCTTCTACCCTCTTCCCTTTACAACCCTTTCACAACTTGCTTTTAACAAATAATAAAGAAGTAAACTGTATGAAAAAGTTTTCATTTTAATGCCATGATTATCAAGTTTCGAAGGATTTCATTAAAATGCCACAAAATTTCAACACTGAGAAAGGGTAAAATAGAGTAAATCGATGAAAAAATTATCTAAAAAAAGAAAATATAGTAAAAATAAAAAGAAAAACAGAGAATAATTCTTAATTAAAGCAACAAGCAAAGCTTATCAAGCAACAAATTGGAAAACTATTTTTTTCATACAATTTAAGCCACTTATGGCCACATTTACACACATCCGAGTATCCACACTCACACACTCACACGTTCAAACAGTTTCCTGTCGGTTGAATCCTTGTGAGTGAATCCTTATACGTAGTAATTTAATGAAAAGTTGGTTTAGCGCAAAAATGTTCACAAGGCAGGCTATATACTTCATAAGGAACTCGTTGTGAATGTGTGCCAATTTTTGTTTCGTTATTTAAACCCATAAGTGCATTATTGTGGCAGGGTTAACAGTTTACCCCTCTCTTGCCAGTCATTTGTAAGAATAAAAAAAAATTAAAATTAAACTGAAAAAAATATATGGAATCCCTTTTTGCTTCTTCATCAACAAGTACATCAGGAGTAAAAATATACAACATATCACATATATATATATACATATATATATATATAGTACGCTATAAATATGTCAACGTATTTAAATGCTTTATTTGTCCCTGCACTGCAATTTGTTACATTTAAGGACAATTTTATCAGAAGCATTGCTTAAGCAAAATTACATTATTTTTAAATCGGTTGAAGAAAATTAAACAATTTTTAAAGTTTGCAGTATTAATATAAAGATATATGAAATGTAGATATATATCTTCACTAAAGCACTCTTTTTAAATTTATTTTATGCCATTTATGCACTAAGCCAAAAGAATATCCTTTATATATCCTTCTATGGTATTTAAATTAACCCAGTTTTAGTCTCATCTAATTACTGTTATTTAAGCTAACTATTCCTAACTTTAGATAAGTTGTTCTACATTCAGCTGCAGCGGAAGTCTCTGTGGTGCCATCCACTCTATACATTACTAAATGTGAAAACTAAAATTTAACGCCATTTAAAATATTTTATTTACCATTCGAACATATTCAAAATTTCCTTTCACACTGTCAATTCATTCTTTGTTATCAAACCATTTAAGATTGACGTATGTATCAGTATATTTTCCAACAAATTTTTTAACTTTTTGCAATGATTAAATTCGTTAGAAGAAAAGGTGTTGGCATCGGATATTTAAAAGCTTTGGAAATTCATATGAAAATGGTAAATATGTTGACTAAATTTGGTCGTTCAAAAACAGAAGTTCGGGTTTGTTTTAAAGTAATCATATGATGTGAATAATGAAGGGCATCCAAGACCTGTAACAATATGAGAAAACGATAATGTTTAGTAAAATCGTCGATTGACCGACAGAGATTAAATAGAATCTTTAAATGAAATGAAATACATACACAATGTGAGTAAAAAGTTAGAAGATCTATAGTAAGATAGAAAATCTGTAATAAAAATTCATATCAATAAGCATTTTAATGCTGCAACTACTCGAGAACACCTAGATGAAACGATCAATACTTAACAGTTTGTCAAGATCTGACAATAATAATGCAACTTTATCAACGACATCAGGAATGGTTTGGAAAAAGTAAAAAGGTTTTTGTTCTTCTCTTTATAATGATGGATGAGACTTGGTCCTAAACCAAAAAAGAAACTAAATAGTAAAGAAAATTCGACTGATTGGTTTCAGAGCGAGTTCGTGCTTAGAAATCAACAAAGGAGATGTTAGCGATTTTTATATTATCTATATTTTTTATTATTTTTGTTTAAAAAGGTTTTTGTAAATCTTTAAATAATAGACTTATAAGTCGGTTTGTATTTTTTATTTTTATTTTTATATCTATATACACTTTGATACTTGCGTTATTTATGTAGATAAAAAAAACCAACTCATAAGTTTTTTTATTTAAAGCTTTCGAGAAACCTTTTTAAAAACAAAAAAAAAAGTTTTTTTATATATTACTTAATAACTGATGAAAACAATAAACTCCGATTATTTTCACAATATTTTACGCCATTTATATGTGAAAACCCATTTCATAAAAAAAGCCATAGTTTTTAGAAGAACCGAAGAAAATACTAATTTTCTATAAAAACAATGTACCTATAAATGAATTAAAAAATATATTGTTGTAATAAATGCTCTATTTGTTTCATTTAGCTTCCTTTGATTTCTGTTATTAGAATAATGTATTAAAATTGTTGGAGATTGTGTTGAACTTACATAGCAATTCGTTTATATCCGTTTCGAATAGTTATTCAATCATTCAGTCATAGATACATGCTTAGATTTTTTTTTGAGTTTTATATAAGAGTCAATAGGAACGTTCGACAACTTAAACAATTTTTTCATATATTATTTCAGTTATTAATTGAGTGCATATTGTTTTACTTCATCCACCAAATTTTTAAAAATAATCCCTTTTATTTCGTTTATAATCGATTGGCCTTCCTGTTTTCAATATGCCCTTTGAAGATTTCCAGATGTTTGTATGGCTGCTGTCTTTCAATTTATGAATCAGGTCTCTCCTTTCAAAATTATTATTCGATATGTATCAAATGGTTCAGTTTGTATGGGAATGGGAAGTGGAATGGCTGCTCTTTGTTGGACTACAGTGTATTTTTTTCATTATTTTCATGTCCCTTGTAACCAGGTATCTAAATTGTTGTTACACAATTCTTGAAAGCACCTGTACTACTTAGTAAATATTTTCTCTTCTTTGCTCCATAATCTTAGACATCATGCGTTATACGTATGTAAATATCGTAAATGAACTTCCCCGTTATATACTATAAACTTTGTTTTAAGTGTTTTAAATCTATCGATTAGGTGAAATAAACAGTATGAACAAAAATGTAGTCAAACTGTTGAAACATGTTACTGTTAATAGACATCCCCTTCAACGAATTAAAAATGAATTGCAAATAAATTTTTCTTCCCCCTTCTCTAAGATTTTGTGATAAGTACAAAACTTAACATTAATCGTTTTAAACGTCCTAAGCGAAGCGAGTGTTCGCAATACAAAATACTTCAGGATTAATATTTTGAAAATTGACAAGAAGCAGCAGTTTTACGACATTGAGCTGCATATTACACTAAAAACGAACTTAATGAGTTTCAAATAAGTTAAGCATACTGTGAACGAATAAAAAAGATGAAGCACATAACAAGCCAGGCAAATTACGATTTAAGGAAATAAAAGTAACTAGAGGATAGCATGTGTGAAGGATATTGCCACGGTTGCAAAACGTATAAAGGACCTGTTGAATTTTTTATATTATTTTGCATGCGAAGGTTTCTGCATAAGCTTAAGCATTCATAAGGATGGATATACGTAGGTGTATGGGTGTGGCACGTAGTCACAGACGCATATGTTTATGAGCTACGAGTTGAGCATATCGAGTTTTACGCGATTTTTGTGTGGCAAATGAGGAAATTATGATGTAGCATAAAATTCAATTAAGTGGAAATAAGTGAGTTTACTCTGG